GACTCTGACATATGCCACACACTGAATAGCAGGTTTGTTTTATCAGATAAATATAACTCTTTTGTTTGAAAGCATGTATGGAACACCAAAAGCATTGTTTAAAATGCTTACAATTAGGATGTCAAAGATGACTCACATATATACCTCAATTTAGAAATTAAATATCAAGTCCTATTGAAGTTTAAGTTACATATAGGCCAATCAAATAAGATCTTGTGCTACTAAATGATGCGTTTGGTTTGTATGTGGTTGCAGCCCTGTAGGAGTGTATATGACTGTGGGTGAATAAAGTGTTCCTGACTAAAAACACAGTGAGGTGTGAGATGACTTGAGGTGTGTTTTTGTTTCTCTGAGTGTATGTGAGTGCAAATGTGAGTCCATGGGTGTGAGAGAGAGCTGACAGGTATATTTGTTTGTCTTGGCCCCTGGTAGTGACCTTGGCCCCCTCTTTGGTTTGTTCAGCGTGAAACCAAATCCCTTAATCAATCCTTTAAACTGCCCTCACCTTTTCCACCATTAAAGCAATTACACTTTGGGGCATCAGGTTTTCAAACGCAATAATAGCGGTAGGTGTGCGGCACCCTGGCTCTGTTGTTTCAGGGCCTGTGAAACCGATATCGAAGGATTTTTACACACGATATTTAATACTCACTTGGTCAGAATTGAAGACAGTCCCTGTATAGTATAGTTTAAAGGAGCAAAAAATCAGTTTCAGGTTTGATTTTCTGTTGTCCTAAAAAAAATTATATCCACCCATCAAATGATGTACAGAAAAGGATTTTGCATTTGATGGGATGATTTTAAATAGTTCAATGATTGTAGAATACTAATTCTCTCTTCCTGTTGTCGACTACCTTTTCTTTTTCCCCTGCAGAGAAATCCACAAAAGGAGCTACTATTAGTCACAACTGAGACTGGTGTTGATATAGGAGACTATTGCCGCATTGCTGAAAGTCCCCAGGTTGGTAGCAAAACAAATCACAGATTCGCAGTGGAAGTACAGGAGCTGCTTTGGAAATGTAGCCATCTAATGCAGATTTCTTTTTGAAATAAAAAAATACAAGTTTGCATCTGAACTTCAAAAAACAAAGGAACCAAATACTTAATAAATGCATAAGTACATGCACTCAAAATCCCCTCAAAGGAGGGGTGACATTATCCTTGTGACAATGAACCCCTTTACAGGTCTCTCCACAACAACATGCAGTAGTACTACCCAAGTTGCCTCCATCTCTCCCAGATCACATCATACAAATGAAAACTCATGCTCGACCTCTTCTAGTAAAATGACTATACTGCGAAAACAGATGTGGACCTGTCTGTGCTTCAAACTTATTTATATCACATATTTGCAGATACTGTTTCCCATTTAGCATGTTGCAATCTTGTTTCACTGCTACGTAGCTGATACGTGAGTGAGCATCTGACCTCTGCCCTTCACGGTTCATGTGAGTTATACTGACTCCGAGGATGACTGCCCCTGCTAACTGCACATCAGTGTGTCCGCTCACACAAAGGCCGGCTCGCCTCTTATCAAAAGTCAGATCTGGCTCTGACTACAATCCATTTCCTTCCTCGCTCTGGGTCTCCTTTGCCACATCATGACAGCAGCTTTTCCAGCTCATTTCACTTGTGATAGCCACAGGAAGACAGGAACATCTCTGCAGTGACCCTGCCTCAATCAGCGATGCTTTATTTGATTGAGTTCTGTAGCACTGCAAACAAAGAAAAGCCGATGACATTGTATCTTTGTAAACAGAAGCTGAGGAGACACTACTCTAAGGCACTGAGGTCTAAAGGGCATGCCAAGGATAAGTGTTTTGCTTGATGAGCTTTTAAAAGTCAGTCTAGGTCCAAATCTCTTGAAAGGCTCATTTAACCCTGATCCTCCTTCTGAAATGGCAATTTGATTTGTCCGGTGGTTAATGTACTAGAGGACACTTAATGTAATTTCACAGAAGGTAGGGTGTTGGTGGGGAGACAAAGGCAGAAATTATTTTAAGTAAAACTCCACAAAAGACTACAGTGCTTTACAGTTCACCCCTAGCTGGCCAAGGGGGATTGAGGGCATCTCTGGCTGATCAGTGCAGCCTCTGATGATCAAAAGGCAGACATCTTTGGCTTTATCTCACCAAGCAGGAGGACTTTGTTAGCCTCTCCATAATAAACTGAATGCAGGCAGGCACTGGGCTCTAATTGAATTTCCTGGCTTGGTAACTCAGCTGCTCACCTGCTACTATACCATTGTTACTCAACAGAGTGCACCTCCACTGGCCTAGATACTGCTGTCTCCATCTCCCCCTTCAATCTGATGAAGCCAACACTTTTCTACAACGATGAGATCGGCGCAGTGTTGGGCATTGCTTAGTAAAGCGTTGTGATTACTTTTTTCACTAGGCACTGTAGTGTAAGGGATTCAGTAATTACATTACAGTCAGTAAACCCAGTAACACTCTATTTCTTTGACAATTTGGAGGTCAACTTGTTCACTTTCTTAACCAGAGTTTGATGGAGAGTGTTGATATCAGCTTTTGAGTGTGTATCTGTCAGTATGCATCAACAGAAGTGCCTGTCAGATAGCATCGGATAGCATCGAAAACCTTCTACACCCACACCTTTCCGACATCAGAATTGGGAATTATGTCCTACACTTTCCAAAAAAAATGACATGCACACCTGCTTCACGACATGAATGGCTCTGGTGAGAAAGGAGCCAGGGTTTGAACATCTCTCTCCTGCTTTTTCATTCTTTACACAGCTATTTCAGTCACTTTTCATGTGCACAACCGAGTGCAACAATATGAAGGTCTTTCAGGACTTTTTTTAGACAGGACTGTCTAAAAAAAGCAACTCCTGACTTATATTTCATATTTATATATTGTGTATACTAATCTGGCTTGCAAATGTTAGCGACTGGTAAACCTACACTGAAGCAGCAGTAGGGAATTCTTTTAAAAATTACTTTTTTTCATATTTGCTAAAACTATCATTATATTCTGGCAGTAGTACATGAGTACTACTGTAAATAATCTGTAAAAGAAATCTGCTTCCTCTGACTCCAAATGCCATTTGCAAGAATCCACCACCGCTCCTGAGTCACTGCTGAGTAGCCTCTCATCCCGCTGTTTAACGTTGCAGCCCGAGCCTCTGAAGCCCAAGGTGCTCTGCCCAGGGCCACAAAGCGTTGGAGGGGCATCTTTGAGAAAGCCAGTCGAAGCTAGAGGGACCGGGGTCTTGGCGAGACTTTCAGGTTTTACAGGGCAACCAGCTCCTTCTTGTGGGTTTGGTGGGTGGGACTATGTTCAATTGCCGACTGCAGCTTTAAGGAATGACCTGGTTTTGTTCTGAATGTAGGGGTGTGTGGACCCAGCAACTAAACTGGTGTGGACAGAACCTTTGGAGTGCTCTGTGCCGTCACTGGTGCTAATGTTTACTATTGATGGTAAGAAATCCCTCCAAAACATAGGCTGACTGCATGTTAATCCACAGTGTCTCTTTTTTATTTCTCCATGTGTTAAATACAGAAGATGTGGCCGTGGAGGAAATGAAAAAGAGTTGAACTGAGTAACGAAGATAATATAATAACTAATGCAACTACTTACTTTTGCTGTGGTGTAATTAGTAAATAGCTGCATAACCCCCACCCTGAAAGACAGTAAAACTCTTGTGAACAGTGCTTGACCTTCAGGGAGCCAGGGTTACAATCCCGAGCACAGCTGGTGAGAGAGACTGACAGTTTACTCAATGAATTAATGATACAAGTCAAGGTCAAGTGCTAACTGATTATGCACTCCATATGCAGCCAGGGGGAAAAACATGCTGCAGATTCCTTTACACCTGGAGACTGATTATGCACCAATTCCTAAGTCACATTTAGTTCTCTTTTCCCCTTGCAGGTTGAAAAAGCAGCAGCGGGAGCCAGTGCAAAAGGAACTTAAGGCACATATGCTTTCATCGCATGTCTGTGCAACCTTTGCTTTCAGTTGGCAGTTTGGAGCCCAGCTGAGTGTGAGAAGATTGGTCACAGAGGCAGCGCAACATCCTGAAAACATGTAATCAGTATCTGGCTGCTGTTAATTGAAGATGTTAGTGCAGTGGGGTGGGTAATGGCACAGGAACCTTCTTGTTCTGCCACAGATGGACTCCAGACCCACACAAACATACTACACCACACATCCCACATCCATTCATGTCAGCTTTTTACCAAAGATAACACAATGAGGGAGGACACAACGGCTACCTCAACCTGAAAAAGCTTTGACAGACTAAAAAGGACAGCAAAGATTAGATCCTTTATTTACATATTCTTAAGGTCTAAGATACACGTGTTTTCTTTAAAAATGTTCTCATCAAAACCAAAAAACATTACATTCTTGGAAATGTATCAATGCAGTATGTACTGTTAAACATAAACTAGATGAAAGAGCATGTTTCACGCAGGTGCAAAATTAGTACTCTCCGAACAATCAGAACCCACACTGCCCCCTTGAGGTCAGTATAAGTATTAAGATCACGAGGGGAGAATACAGAAGCTGCACCGCAAAAGTAGTTAAGATAATGTTCTGGTGACCTTTAAAACCCTATAAATAGATTTTTTAAAAACTTAATTGGTCTGAATTTGTGATTATCAGCCCACACCAAACTGAAATGAGAAACTGCAATGCTTTTCATGTGACTAAATTGCACTCTTTTTTAAAACATAAATGTCATATCCTTGTAATGCATCCCTCTTGACAGATTTCAGAAAAATATCTCATGTGCATTCATACTGAAAGTGCAAGGCTCCATCACTGATATGTCAGTGTTCAATTTTCCTTCAGAGCGCCTCAGTAGCCTTCACTCAGCCTCAATGACTTGTCATAGACTCTTCTGCTCAGTGAAGAAGTTCATCCTGATTACCAAAGGGAGAATATGAAGCTACTGTGACTCACTCTGACTCAAAAGAAAATCACTTGATGAAAGCTGTAATTTAATCAGCAACTATGCTTCATCTGTCTCACCCCTGGCAGTAGCAACAGCCTCCCGCCAGGCGTGGCATGCTACATGGTGTTTATATGGCATGGATAGGGTGTTAAGGATTCCAGCAAACAAACCTGCCTGATCCTCATCTGAATAGAGCCTGATTATCTCCACATGCAGCCCCAGCATGTTGTCAATACACAGCCAATAGAAGTCTACCAGAGCCCGGAAGCTTTATAGCAAAACAGACATCGTCACCACACTAACGCTACCACCAAAACCACCATGTGCTTTAATTAGTAGCATCCCTCACTCTCTCTCTCTTCCGCCCTCTAGGACTCTCTTGGTTGATTTGCTTGGATCTCTTACAGGCAGGTGACTTTTGTTTCCTGCAGATAACAGCTCTGGGGGGTCTTGTGAGAACACAGAAATAGTTCCAGATACCAAATAAGAGACACAAAAACATGCACATGCCACCTGACACCGCTACTCCTGCTGTGCTGCAGTGGGTGTCCTGTCACACTGGTAGGGCAGAGAGGGGGAACCACTAATGCACAGCCGTCGGTGGTGATGACAGCCCATCTCTGGGCTGTAATGAAGCGAGGAAGAGTGTAATGAACTCTGCACATAGGCCAAATGTACAACAGAAGCAGAACAGGATGCACAGACACACAAAGGCAGTGAAATGGAGATAGAAAAAGGGGGAGGTAATAGATAACAAGGCTGAGGTGTGACAAAAAGACTGTGTTAACCATGAGGCTGATGGCAGAGACCTTATCCAAGAAGTGACAGAGGAACACACCCCCTGTTAATGCTCTCTCAACAACCTCTCTCCATTTCAGACCATTCTGCTCACTTTCCTCTGAGACATTGAGTCATATCCTCTGAGTGCAAACCTGAATAAGGCTGACTGAAGCCAGCCCTAATGGGAATGTTCAAAGGATAAATAGCTGCTACCGAGCCATCTCATTTTAAATAACAATGCACACAGATGCATAAGTGTCAAACAGAAGTGCTTGTTTTTGGCTTCCTGGCTGGGCAGGAGGGGGATGAGGACACTTGGCTACAGCAGCCATTTAATGCTCTCTGTGTACGCAGGCAGGCGTAGCGATGTGGCACGAGAGAAATTAGTCTATCACAAGACTTTTTTTCCCCCCTCCAGCAGATTTTCATTCTTAATCAAAAAGCTCATTACAGCACATGCAGGTTGGCTTGTCCTTTATATCCTGCAGAAATGTGATACGGCCACCTCAAGAAGTCGATGCAATTATTGACAAGCAAGACAGAAAAAACTATGGCTTCAAAACATTTCCAACAGTTGTGTAACCTTAAACATTTATTCCTGCTTTTGGTAGTTTTCTGTGCAATTCAATTTGATTTCTCATTACTTCCAGAGTAAGAGAATGAGAGCCACAGACAATAATGAAGCCTCTTTGTTCTGGCCCGCAGCACTGATGGCCATTTTCTTCAGTTCCTAAAGAAAGTCATTTCATACTGGGTTCCATTCAGCAAAATGGCCCATCATCATGATGCAATATATAACCCTTGCCCCGAATTTCTCTCTTGCAGTCCCCCAGAAACCTGGATGCAATGTTTTGTGATCAAATAGGCCCTGGAGGGAGTGATAATGTGCCTAATGTATAGCAACTGAACCACCGTGGCAAGCAAGAAAAATAGACCAGAAAGCTGAACAATGATGTTTGTAGAAAATTACTTTCTAATTGAGGCATATGCCATGGGCATGACAGATAAATTAGCCATTGTCAAGGCATTCAGCTGTGGTGCGTCACTTACAGCTTGTGTGTTATTTGTCTGAGCATTCCTGCTGAATCTTTTCTTTGTGGTTGTGTCTATCTTTATGGTTATCATGCTTTCACTTTCAAACTAAGAAACTATCTGCTGCCACTTTATCCAGCATAACTAATTCTACTCTTAACATTAAAAGCAATGCACCTCAAAGGTTTATTTCATGCCAAAATTACAATCGTATTTTATTAACAACTTATGTCAATCAGCAGATGCGGTCATGTGCTACCATATGTCAGTATTGTTTTCATGCGCGCACACACTGAACCAGAACATTAACCTAAACCAAGCCAAATGCCATTGTCTATTGTCTCTGGATATCTTTTGTATTTTTATATAATCTCAAATGTGGTGTAGTATTGTACTGAGCAAACATTTTAACTATAAACCTTGACAAAAATGTGACAAAAATACATAAAAGTTAACTAAATGTGCTTTAGTTCATTGCTATTTTATATTTATAACCATGGTTCTGTAACCAATTGTATTAATTGATTTAGGAAATTATAAACATTTAATACAATTTAAATCCAAGCAATGAAAAATCATTATCAAAGTCAGTATTGATATATGTATGTAAACATTTGCAAAGAGGTGTAAAACTCTGTGAACCACCTGCACCCCAAAACAACTTGAAGACAAGAATTACATACTATGATTCAATTGTGTACAGCTTTTTGTGAGGATGTGTACCCTTCATAATTGACAGATAACAGATTCTTTCTCTAAACAGATGGCAACGCATTGTATTGTGCCATGAGTCTACCCAACTAACTTCTAAACAACTGGGCTGGGTTTACACAGTTAGTACAGACTGCTTTGGTGAAACTTGTAGAACAAACAAAACTGGGCACAACAGAAGCTTTGTGAAACTGAGCCAAACTTGTGAAGTGATGCAGCTGTTAGGGTGAAACCACTGTGGGCTTTCAAGGCCTTGTTTGGAAGAGGTGAGCATCATCGCATGTACTAGAGCTGCTCGATTGTTACTTTCAAGCCTTCTGATGGGCAGGTTTTGGATATTTGTTCAATGATCACAAAATTCTGATTTTCCTCTTGTGTTGTCTTCTTCTTTTGAACCATCATAGCATGAATACATAAAAGGCTCAGGGGGAGCACTGACTTGTTTAACACGTTTTTAGACAGCTGCGCAGAAAAGATATGATGAAAAGGTGAGAATCAGTCACGTGTAGTTTCATTGTTAAAGAAACACTGAGGAAGTGAAATATCCTTGAACCACCTCATCTAGTACCCACTAGCTCAGCCCTTGTTGATACCCAGCTCATAGTCCCTGACTGGGAGCTGTCGAGTCCCAGTCAGAGCTGCTAGGCATGTGTCTCTAAATGGAAGTAAATGTAATTACAGGATGACAAAGGCAGGTAGCAGCCAGCCAGGCAATCATTTTCCCTGATTGAGACAGAACGTTAAGGTCTGAAAGGCCATTGGAGTGTGAGCCCACGGCAAGTGCAATCTGACGCCTCAATAAACCTGGCTGAAATGAGAAACTTCTTGTTCTGTTCTGCATGGCTCCTGGATGTGGGAGTGACTCAGTCATTGATGGGTAGAGTCTGAGCTGGTATGATGATATCTTCCTTAATGTCAATATGGCTCTCCCGTGTTTTAGTTACTGCTCCCCACTGCAGCATTAATCACTTTGAAATAGGCAAAGCTGTGTGAGAGCCAACTTATTCGATGCATAGGATGTAATTGAATTTATTTATTTATCCAAAGCAATAACAGAAAGTATTTCCCAGGCGAGATGTGAGTGTTGAATTTCACTGAACAAAGCAGATTTACTGTGCATGAGCACAATTACAAGCATACCGACAAAATTCATACGTCAGTGAAGAGATATTCTGAATTAATTTATTTTTTCTGCTCTTTCTGAGTCACTGCAATAATGCAATTTTTTAAACTAATTAATCATGACTTGTTTTTGTCTCAGAAGAATAAGTACACCTTAGGCAATATAAATAATTTCTGATGGAAATTGACACTGATCGTACTAATCCATTTATGTATTCCGCATCTAATCCAAGCACAGGCAATTGCATACTCCAGAGACATGGTGCAGTACATTGCAGCCATGTTAAAATGACTAAAACACATATTACAAATTACAAAGAGAGGGTGAAATGTAATGCTTTATTTTGTACAATGAATGCATTAGACACAAGATAGCCATGTGACAGAGAGGGTGAGCGCTTTAGCCTGTCTGGGCTGCTTCAATCCATGAAGCACTATGGAGCTCTGTCAACAGTTTTCATATAGAATCTGGTAGAAAGTAGTTCAGATGAAAACCGTAAGTAAAGTCTGAGGATTAATTAGAGTTAAGAGGACATTGTTTTGAGAAGTAGACATTGCTGTAGATTTTTTAATACAGTAAATATCACAAATGATATTCAATTCACTTGCATTGTATTGAGGTTCAGGCAGAAATCTCAGAGGGAGATTTCCTGAGCAAATTAAACTAAAACTATCTGCACACCTAGCTAGTCTACCACTGGAAAACATTTTTTGTATTATTTGGATAAACTTGTCTTTTTAAAACAATTGTTATATATATATATATATATATATATATATATATATATATATATATATATACTTTATTCCTGTCAGTAGGAGAGCCTAACAGTGTTAGTCATTCCACACAGCAGGTAAATTAATTTTTCATGGAAATATCCCCCCAATGTTTAGTAAAGTTCTGTAAGCAGATTAAGAGGTGCACTTAGCTGCACATGGGTAGCAAGAGTGTGGACGTGGGTGGCACAGTGGGATGTGATGGGTGTGGAGAACTCACTGCATCAGGCACATTAACCCCATACTGTGAGATGCACTGCTGATACTAAGCCTACAATTAATAAGGGGGGGGGTGTCAGATAAGTGCCAAATAAGGATTATTTTACATTTGTCATCAACAAATGTGATCCCATCTACAATCAATCATCTTCAACCACTTATCTGTGCAGAGTTGAGGGGGCTGAGCCAATACCAGCCAACATTGGGCGAGAGGCAGGGTACACCCTGGACAAATCACCAGTTGATCCCATCCACTACCTTGTTAAATTTGAAATGACACTGATTTATCACATACCAATGAAAAGCATAGGTTAAATCCAGTGAATCAAAAGACAAAAACATGGCACTTTTGTCACGCATCTGTCATAATTTAGTGGATTTGTGTATCGCAATTTCTGTATTGTGTATTCTATGGTTCAGCTTAAAAAAATCATGTTTATTTATTTTGTTTTTACTTTTAAGTGAATTTAAGGAAAATATGTGTTCTGTAACTGTAATGTAGAAATTAAACAGTAATTTATATTGAAGGGATCCTAAATGTGAAAAATTTGTTAAAATGACAATTTGTCCAAATAGAGGTGAAAGAAT